GGCTGCTCTTCCAGAGGTCCTGAGTTCAATTCCCAGCAACCACATGATGGCTCACAACCATCTGTAATGAGATCTGGCACTGTATCCTGGAAAGTGTACATAATAAATAAATACATTAAAAAAAAAAAAAACAAGAATGCCCTTAAAAAAAAAAAACAAGGTGGACAACAATAAAGGAACATGTGGGACATCAATGTCTGGCCTTCACAGAACACACACACACAAACAGACACATGTAATAAATTAATAATCAAAAGTATTATGTAAGTAAGACTATTACATGCTAATTTAGAATTTGCTGAGTTTCTTATTGCCTATTCTGTATCTGAGCATCAAATCAACTCTATATACAAAATTTATATGCTAAACTCCAGCCATAAAATTTGAGGTGGTTCTGGGTCTCCACCACAGATTATTACCCACCCGCGTGTCTGCAGGATTTACAGCTCAATCGGGGATTTGTTACATGACTCCAGAAAGACAATTACCGTACTTTTCACATCCTACCCCTGGACACTTCAAAAGACAGGCATCAGCATCTTTTAGCTTCCTGTCATCTTAGTTTTAATGGCTCTTTGACTTTAGCATCACAGGGGAAATTCTGAAAATCAAAACTATTTCTAGATTAGATCTGTTGTTCTTGGCATCCACAGAGCAAGCCACTCCAAAATTACAGTAAAGTCAGCACTGGGTCATTCTACCTTTGTCTCTAACTCAGCAGTTGAGTCTATGCTTGTGGAAGCTGCTAAGGCAATTGTATAAAAAGTTGGACACTTTTGAAACAAGCAAAAGCTGAGTCACCAGAATGTATAATTTCACCAGCTGCCAAAAAAACTAATTAGTTTTATTCAAATCTGTTCTATTTCTTACTCATATAAGGCACAATGCTTATATCAAAGAGATCAGTCTTGTTGGGGATAAAAATAAATAAATATTAACTCTACTTTCCAATACTATGTAGCATATCATTGTTTTAGCTCCACTGTCATTACTGTTATATCCCATACCACTGTTTTATATTCCAATTGTAAAGAGCAGAAATGTTAAATAAGTAAAATACATACAGTAGCTGTCTGAAATCAGGTAAGAAACACTAATAATCGGCACATTCAGGGATTCCCTCCTCCCTAGAAACTGCAGGTATTAATACTCGATGGACAATTTTACCATTAAAGCTGAAGGTACCAAAAGTACTCCTATCTGCATATCATAGCTGTAAATTAATTTTTACATTGTGTGTGCATGTGCACGTGCGTGCACATGTGTTTATAAGCACTCGTGCATGCCACGGCACTCACTACTGAGTTCCTTGTGTCACTTGCACACTGACACTATAATGAAATAAAAACTTATGTTTTAACGGCACCTGAATTATACAGTGAGATTAAAAAAATACCATTTACTCAGCCCAAATTATTGGCTAGAGATTTTTTTCCTTCATCTGGCTGGGTCTGGGGCTGGTAATCCCAGCTACTTGAAAAAATGAGGCAGAACGATCACAAGTTCAAGCCCAGCCTCAGTGACCTTCTGAGTCAAAATAAACAGTAAAAAGAGGGGTTGGGATAACTCAATGGCAAATGCTTGCCATACATGTGTGAGACCCTGGGGTCAATACACAGCCACTTAAAAAAATTACACAGCGCAAGCGCTTGAGGATGCCCTCACTTTTACACGAGAAGAACTGCCAAATCTGTACATCTGATCTTACAGCACTTCCCACACACCGTGTGACAGGAACTCGGATTACATGTTACAGTCTAGCTCAAAGGTCACCATTTCCCCAGAAAATTATGAATGAAAGGCTGAGGAAACAAGAATACATAAAGCTTCTAACAAAAATAAAACTATGAAGTTAGGCTTAGCAACTAAGTGCAGGCCTTTCAGTACTATAAGGCTCACTACTCATGTTACCTGAGCAACTTATGACAATTACAGAGAACTGGAATCAAAGACTTTCCTGTCAAAAATTATGTCACTAACAACCTAAAACAGTCTCAATTTTGTGCCTTTAAAGAATACAATACAACCTTAACATAAGGCAAACTACAACTTAAGCAGGTGTCCCATTGCTAGGTTGCCATTCATGTATGTCCCCCATGTCTACAGAAAAAAAACCCACAGGGCTGGAGAGATGGCTCAGTGGTTAAGAGCATTGTCTGCTCTTCCAGAGGTCCTGAGTTCAATTCCCAGCAACCACATGGTGGCTCACAACCATCTGTAATGAGGTCTGGTGCCCTCTTCTGGCCTGCAGGCATACACACAGACAGAATATTGTATACATAATAAATAAATAAATATTTTTTTTTTAAAAAGAAAAAAACCCACAGGATGATGCTCGTAAAGGGTGGGGGTGGGCTCTAGGACAGTGGGAAATCCTCTACCTATCCTGTGTGAGCCCTGAATTCAATCCCTTGGGAATGAGAAGAGTCACACAATTCGCAAACGGGTGTTTGAAATAAAATATTCTCCACATAATTAACTGAATACATTACCTTAGCACTGTAAATTTTATCTATAAAAGGTCACTTTCTTTTTTACCTTGTATGTTAAACCAGGTGAAGATACGAGCACACCGTACAAACAATACTGTCTTTCCCCAACAAATTATTCTTACCAAAGACTCAGAAGACAAAATTGTTGTTGGTTGAGACACCAAAGAGTTCTAAGTTACAGGGTTGGTGACATGTCTGGAAAAACAGAGTGGCTACAAGTTGTTTTTCTGGTCCACATTAGGTCTAGGCTGTTCCCTGACTAAAGGACGAACTTATGCCCACTTATCTCCTGTCCTAGCAGCAGAAAGGTACTACAGTCCCTAAAGGTGACTTCCTGTCCTAATTTCTTTGACGACAAACAACCCTCCCCCTTAAAAAAAAAAAAAAAAAAAAAAAAAGCTTTTCTCCTCGTTTAAACTTGGTGGAGGAGGAAGGTAAGGGTGCTGGGACGCCAGGTGGTTGCCCGGCCAACGAACCCACTTCCTGCAGAGGTCCGGAAGTGACACACAGCCCGGAACCTGCGCCGATCCGGGGTCAGCGACAGTCCCTGAGCAGTGCCCGCGCCTTGATTCACTGGGTAGGAGATTTGAAACAGCACCCCCAACACTGACTCCGCCCAGGCATCTAATGCCCCGCCCAGCAGGTGCCCCGCGTGCACTCAGCTCAGTCCACCCAGGCCCGTGCGTGCAGTCCGCCGTGCCGAGGCCCGCGGGAGCGCGCGCCCCGCCCATACGACGTCACACCTGTAGGCCCCGCCTAGACCGGGGCCCTCCCCCCGCCACACACACACCGACACACTCACGTCTACACACTCACACATACATACACACACCCTCTCCGCCCGGACCTGCGGGGGACCCCTCCCCCTTTAACCATTTGGCAGGAGCCGAGGAAGGGCTAAGGCACCGGACGGCCCGGAACTTTCCCCGGGGCGAGAGGGGAGCACAGACTATCCCAGTCCCGCGCCACGCCGGGAGCCGGAGGGGGGGGGGGGGGGACGGACCGTCACCCAAGTCCACCTTCGCCGTCCTCTCGCCTCCTCCCCCCCCTCCCGCACGTTCCAATGCATCTGCTCGCAGAGGGAGGAACCGGGCGGGCAGGGGCCAGCAGGCCCAGCACCCAGCCCAGCCCGCGCCCCACTGCACACTCGCCAGCCCGGGGCAGGACAAGCGTGCGGCAGCCCAGCCGGCGGGCACCGGAACAAATGCTCGCTTAAAATGGCTGATTCCCGTCCGCGGCAGCTGCAGCCAGCCGCCCGGGCTGCAGCAGCGGAGGCTGACGGGCGGCTCTCGGAAGTCCCGGGCAGCCGCAGTCAGGACAGAGAGGGCCGCGAGGCCGGTTTGCAGTCGTCGTCCCCCACCCCCCGCTTCCCGGTTCCACAACACCAGATCGCTCGCTGCACTTCCCCGACACTGTCACCCGAGAGAGAGAAAGTACCTTGGTATTTGTTGTCCAGCTCCCGCAGCACCGACACGTTCCTCTGCATGTCGTGGGGCAGTGACTCCACGCACTCCAGGTAGTCTTGCACGTAGCAGGTGAGCAGCCGGCTCCGCTCTCCGGTCAGGAGCGCGGCCGACGAGAACAGCTGCTGCTGCTGCCCTAACATCCTGGCGCCGCCGCTGCTGCTGCTGCTCCTCGCCGCCGCCGCCGCCGCCGCCTCCGCATCCAGCAGCCACACATGCAACAGCCACGACCGCCGCTCCTCCGCTCGGCCGCCCGGCGCCGCGGGGACACGGCCGCCGCTCGAGAGGGCACCGCCGAGTCCCCCGATCTCCACTCCCCCCTAAGAAGAAACCCTCACTCTCCGCCCCCGCGGGAACAAGCCCAGGGGCGGGGCGAGACCTGGGCTCCCTCCGGCCCCCTCCCTCGCGGGGGGAAAAGAGAGCAGCGGGGTTCCCCGCGGCCGATGGCGCCGGGTTCCCGAGCGGTGACACGGGCTGTCACCCCGGGAGTCCCCAGACACTACCGGAGCTGCCCGGTCGCCCAGATCCCCGTGACAAGTCCCTCGCTGCCCTCTCTCCGCGCTATCAGCCTCGGTGCCTGTCGGAGTCTCAGTGGACTTGCCCCCGCCCCTAAGCCAGCGGCCGCGTCTGCGCCTGCGCGGCACTCACTCCTAATAAGGCCGGGGCCCCGCCCCTATCGCCCTACCGGAGGGTTCGCATTCTCCCGCCTTCCCTGCGCCACCCGGGCGATTGGTCTGTCAACTCTCGCCCGGGGTGGGGGGAGGGCGCGGAGGGTGGCCAAACGGCAGGCTGCGCCCCGCCCCCTCTTAAAGGGGCCGCATGGCTGCGCCGACCCCTTCACCCCAAGTCCGACGGTTGCCCCCGAGAGCCCAGGCGGCCGGGTTCTCGTTTCTGTACCCCACCGGGATGAGGGAGCGCCGGCCAGGCTCGCTCGACCCCGTGGCACCGACCTTGCCTCCATCTGGCGGATCCGGGATGCGCCTCCCTCGCGAGCCTCCGAGACAGCGAGCGGGGCCCCTGGGCGCTGCCGGCCGAGTGAGGCCTGCTGGAACTAAGGCGACCCAGGGTGCAGCGGGCGCGGCTCCGGGCATGCGCGGCGACTTCCCGCCGAGCGCCCCGCGGCCGTGCTCGGTCACCTCCCGCCGCTGCCGGCTTCACCGAGCACCGGGGCTAACCGCAGAGGTAGGCGGTGCGCCCTGAGTCCCCGCCTGGCGTGCGGTCCGCTTCCCCAGCGCCGGGGTGGCTGGCAGGGTCCGCTCCCCTTCCCGAGCGCCTTGCAGGTGTGGTTTAGGGAGAAGCTTGCAAGACTGTCCCCCCCCCCCCCAAAACCACCTTAAGGAAACTTCAGGGATCGGGTCACTTAAGCATCAAACGCCGGCGAGGACCTCGCTTGGTCGTGGAATGAGAAACACGCTCGCGCGTACACACACACACTTAGACTCACACGGCATTTTATTTTCACTCGGTTTTTATCACTAACAAGTAGGTGAGCAGTGCAGATGGTATTAAAAATCCAAAGAGCCAGCGAGTGCGGTGCTTTCTGTGTGAGCGGATTTTCAGGCTCACTCTCCGAGTTGCTGTCAGTGAAATGCCAGGCGGAGGAGCGAGTTGTAATCACGGCTCCACTTCCGGGATGTATATAAATAAGTCAGTTTTGTTTTTTAAAGAAACCGGTGTAAGTAGAAGTCCTCGCCGAATTTTGCTGAAACGCCCCTCTCCCCCGTAAGCCCTATTGGGAGCAGAGTATTTGAGTGAAAGAAAATGCAGAGTGCTAAGTTTGTGTCCCCCTTGCCTGGTTTGCAGCGCTGCACCTGTTGCACGCCCAGTTCAGAACACTTCCGACTAGCGGTGTGTGCTAAGCAGCTGTTGGCATTCTAGTGAAAATCTAGGTCTGGTCTGGAGGAAATTTTGAATTTCGTAACACACAACACGGAATTCCGCGTCCCGAGGACAAGGGCAATATTGTAAAGGACTGGGAACGCTTCGTGTGGTCTTTTAACTCGGGGATTTTGACCAGGAAAAAAAAAAAAAACAGACAATTGAATTTCTGACGACTTGGGCGAATTTTCTGTCTGCAATTCTTTAAATCTTTCATATTGAAAATCATCATTTTTAAGAATTGAAGGTGACTTAGGTTTTGTTGTTGTTGTTTATTTAGTTCGTGGTTTTGTTTTGGTTTTTGCTAGAACTCGATGTTTGTCTGCTCACAAATTTGATTCAGCTAATCCCCCTGCAAGATCGAATTAATGCAAGACGCAGTGTTTCTTTTTGATTGGAGTCAGGCACTGGGGACCTATGGATTTTATGCAACCTGCTCGCTGCACACACCAGGCAGACTACGATGTGCGAGTCGGTGATGCAGAATTCCCAAGGGCGACAAAAACAACAAGAGCTGGGGATCAAGAAAGGATTTGGAAAGCATTCTTGTTGTGTTTCCACTAGGACGGGTATATGAACTTCAGATACGATAACGTGTGAATGGCCGCAGCTGTACTTTTCTTGCTATTTGTATTTACACTGGTAATCTCATCCTGGCCTCCTTCTGCTGGCAGCCTGTGTGGGGATGGCAAGTGGGCATAGCTCCTCAACCCAAGTCCTGGCCCTAGTTAATTTATCATTGTCCTTTTCTTCTAAGTAGCCAGTCATGTGGCCTCTCAAATTGGGTTTCCTAGCCCTTCCACATGCAGAAATCCCCACTCTCTACAATATAGAAATTGACCATATTTAATTATGGTGGGGGAGGTATTTTTCTTTTGTCTTCTGTTCTTTTTTTTTTTTTTTTTTTTTTTCTTCTTGAGACAGGGTTTCTCCGTAGCTTTGGAGCCTGTCCTGGCACTAGCTCTTATAGACCAGGCTGGCCTCGAACTCACAGAGATCCTCCTGCCTCTGCCTCCCGAGTGCTCGGGCCACTACCTCCCGGCTTCTGTTGTTTTCTTATTTACTGACCTTGAAATCGATAAGCAGATGATGCCCCCAAATTAGTGTTCAATTGACTTTAAATTACTGGACTAAATCTAGTATCTACCATTCATTAGGCCCCTGATGGGAAATGTCTCCAAGCCTATTTCCTTTATAATAAAACATTTCTATCCTTTGTTAATATTATATGAGATGAGAGGAACAATCTCAACTAATTAAAAGCAAACTAGCAAGAAGTTCTGAGGGAAAAAAATCAGCTTCTGCTTTAATCAAGCCAATTAAATTAGAAAATCCTTTCTTCTTCTGTTTAATTTTTTTATTTTTTTCCTTTTAAAAGATTTGTAAATGTCATCCCTGCATGGATGTCCATCATGTACATACCTGGTGCTCAAGGAGGCCTGAAAGGGTGTCAGACCCCATGGGACTAGAATTTCAAACAGTTGTAAGCCACCGTGTGAGTTCTGGGGACCATCCCGGATCCTCTGTAAGAACAAACAGCAAGAGTTCTTACTCTCTGAGCCTTATCTCCAGCCCTGAATTTTTTTTTTTTTTTAACTTTTTGGATTTTGCTTTTTAACTATGCTTTTTAGGGTAGCATACAAAGTAAAGGGTTTCATCATGCCATCTTCATATAAGTGTGTCACAGACCAGGCTGGCCTCAGACTTGAGGGTGTCTTGGTGTGTCTGTCTCCCAAGTGCCGGCAGTACAGGCTTGTGCTCCTGTGCACAGTCTGGCCTGGATTCTAATTGTTCTTAATGATGAAAACCTGGAGTTAGATATTAGGTCACTGGAGAGACCTTTTACCTCTACCAAATCCTCTGACTGAAAAGGCGATCCTGTCTCTGCCAAACCTCAGACTGCACTGAGCTCCCGTCTCCTCCTGCCTTATAGTCTTCTCTCTGTCCAGCCATATCACTCCTGTCTCCACCTCCCTGTTGCTGGGATTAAAGGCCTGGGATCCCAAGTTTTGGGATGACCTTTGTGGGAACTCTGTTTCTCTTTTAGACAGATTCAATCTTGTGTACCTCAGGGTGGCCTTGAACTAACAGAGATCTCTCTGCCTCTGTCTCCTGAATCCTACAATTAAAGGTATATGCCACCACTCCCTGGCCTCTCATGGCTTAGTTCTGCACTCAGCTCTTCAGGCAGGCTTTATTTGTTAAAACAAACAAAATATCACTACAGCCAAGCTAAATGTTCTTAAAATTTTTATGATGAAAACTTTCAAACACAAAAGTATGTATACCGTCCACCCATTGTCATTGTGTTGTTTAATCTATAACCCTTATTCTTTTTTAACCCTCAGTGGGTTGTTAAAATCTTATGTGAGAGGCTCTAGAGTTGGCTCAGTGGTTAAGAGCACTTACTGCTCTTGGAGGACCTAGGTTCAATTCCCAGGACCCACAAGGTGATTCACAATCACCCCTAGCTCCAGTTCCAGGGCAGTCTGACTCCCTTCTCTCACCTCTGTAGGCAACAGGCATAGATGGGTGCACCTACATTCATGCAGGCAAACACTTATACACATAAAATAATTTTTAAAAATTTTAAGCCGGGCGGTGGTGGCACACGCCTTTAATCTCAGCACTCGGGAGGCAGAGGCAGGTGGATCTCTGTGAGTTCGAGGCCAGCCTGGTCTACAAGAGCTAGTTCCAGGACAGGAACCAAAAGCTACGGAGAAACCCTGTCTCGAAAATCCAAAAAAAAAAAAAAAATTTAAAGGCAGGACCTCTATAAGACCCCTGAATAGTCAGCCCAAGTGTTTAGTGTCTTAGCAGTCTAGGGTCCCTTGCTGTACCCCTACTTCTACTTTCTGCTCAAATTCCCCTCAGTAAAGTCTTGTATAAATGATGTGTGGGAAAAAAATTGCTTGTTATGGAAATTTTGGTAATATATCTCATGGTATGTGTTGGTGGCTCACAGTCATCTATAACTCCAATTCCAGGGGGATCCAGTGTCGTCCTCTGACCTCTGTGGTACCAGGCACCCACATGGTGCACATATATATGTGCAAGCAAAATACCCAACGTGTGGGCTGGAGAGATGGCTCAGAGGTTAGGAGCATTGCCTGCTCTTCCAGAGGTCCTGAGTTCAATTCCCAGCAACCACATGGTGGCTCACAACCATCTGTAATGGGGTCTGGTGCCCTCTTCTGGCCTGCAGGCATACACACAGGCAGAATATTGTATACATAATAAATAAATATTTCTAAAAAAAACCCAACGTGTACAATAAAAAAACTTACATGAAAATACTTTATGAACAGATAAGAGATAACAAGATTTTAGACATGCATTGCTATTACCCTAACTCATATTTTTCTTATAATTTAAATTTCATGTTTGTCTCCTGTCTCATTTAATCTTTCCACATTTGGTTTAACAGAACAATCAAGCCTCAAAGATTTCATTTGGTTAGTGAGTTCTTTCCCAAACAAGAGCAGTTAATTCATTCTTGAGTTTAATGAAACGGGAATGTTTTTCTGACATTTGGATGGCTGAAAAGCACTCTTAAAAATATTGGGAGAAATTACTGTAAATGGAATCTCATATCAAAAGGTCACCAAGCCTGGTGTGGTGGCATACTTCTTTACTCTCAGCACTCTGGAGGCACAAACAAGTAAAAATCTGTGAGTTCAAGGTCAGCCCCTATCTATTTAGGGATTTCCAGGCCAGCTACGCAATGAGGCCTTGTCTTCAAAACATAATAAAGGCCACCAGTTGACAACTCTCCATAGAAACGTATTTGTACCTGATGCAAATGAGTCCTTGAAACCTCGAAGTTTGTATTAATTTTAGAGATAATTGTTCTGGATGGTCCTGTGAAGATTTTAAATTCTCTCGAAAAGCCCAAAACTTCATCACTACAAAAAGCAACCAATAAACTTGCGAATTAATGGTCTATATCTCCACTAAGCTCAGGTTTTTTTCTTTTTTCTTTTTTTTTTTTTTTTGGTTTTTCGAGACAAAGTTTCTCTGAACTAGCTCTTGTAGACCAGGCTGGCCTCAAACTCACAAAGATCCACCTGCTTCTGCCTCCTGAGTGCTGGGATTAAAGGCGTGAGCCACCACAGTCCGGCTGAGCTCAGTTTTTTTTTTTTTAATATTTATTTATTTGTTTATTTATTTATTTATTATGTATATAATATTCTGTCTGTGTGTTTTCCTGAAGGCCAGAAAAAGGCACCAGACCCCATTTCAGATGGTTGTGAGCCACCATGTGATTGCTGAGAATTGAACTCAGGACCTTTGGAAGAATAGGC